CCACCCCCACCTCCCCTCGCATCTTTCCCATCTGAAGGCGGAAGAAGTCCCACCATTGTCAGGGTCCCCGTCTTGGGGTTCAAGGGGATGGAAGGAGGTCAATGGAGAAGGTGACCACGCGGATGAAGGGATTCGGGGGAGAGCTTTTCCCCCTCCTTCCCCAAAGAAGGAGATAATCCGTGGGGCGGAACGCGGAAGTTATTCCCTCCCCCCTCGTTGAAACCATTGGAAATTAAGAGGAAATGTCTGGAGCGAAGGAGGGGGAGAAGGGATAAGATGCAGTGGGGGGGGGAACTCCCCGGACACGCCCTCCCCACCCCCATTCCCCTCCCCGCCACGGAAAACGGGCGGCTCGGTTTTCGGCTGCCTTGACTGGGCGCAGGCCCGCCCGGTTGTCCTCCCACCCGCTCCTGGCAAATCTGAGAGTCAAGTCGCGTCGCCAGTGACAGGAAAGGCAACAAAAGGTGCCAGGCGCAGACAATGCGAGGGGCTTGTACAGATATTGTAATGATGCAAATGAAGGCGAAGGGACGAGCTGCCTTATTATGTACATAAATACACCCCTGGCTCGCCACACCAGCCTTGAACGCGGGAGAGTGTGAGCAAGCGAGAGCCCCCGAGCTTGGCTGCCAGGTTGAAGGGGCTTGCCCACCCACCCCTTCTCGCCCGCCCTGGCATCCCTTCCTCCTCCTCCTCCGTCCTGCCCTCAGCAGCCCGCTGGTTGCCTCCCCTCCCCCCTGGCGGCTCCCCCTTTCTTCCCCCCACCAGGAGCGCCAGGACGGAGGCGAGAGGGCGGCGGCGGCGGCCGAATCCAGATGTGCCAGTCGCGGAGCCCGGTCTTGCTGGCCCAGGAAGGCAGCGCCTGATAGCAGAGAGCCGAGACTCTCCCAAGGGAAGAAACGGCCCTAGAGGAACTAAGGAGCGCGACCTCTCGCGCGGGGAACCGCGAAGGAAAGGTAAGGGGACGAGGCGGAGCGGCGGGGGGTTTTCTGCAGAGGCCACACCTAGAGGCGCACCTGGCAGACGCGGCCGGAGTTCTTTGTTCCTCCTCCCACCCGGGCTTTCGGAAAAATAGGGGTACCGAAGGGGCGAGGGGGGACTCGGCCCGGCGAAGGGGTGCCTTTCCTTCAGAGCGCTGCGGACCAATGTCTGGCATGGGCAAAGAAGGAGATTGCTGGAATTCTATAGGCACACCAGGAGACCTTTTTGCCCAGGCAGGACCTGGGGCGCTGTTGGGACAGGAGAACCCTTGGCCTGGCCTGGCCTAGCTTGGCCTGGTTTGCTCACTCTCTGGTTGTTTAAACCACTTCGCGAGAAGGTTTGGGTTTTGCCTTGGAATGAAACCTTGGAGAATCGGTTGACCTGGGGGGAGGCAGAGAGGGGGGGAAAAGAGAAGGGGGAGGGAGAGAGGGAGGGGGAGAGAAAGAGAAAGAGAGGAAGGGGGAGAGAAAGGAGGGAGAGAGAGAAGGGGAAGAAAGGAGAGAGGGAAGGAGAGAGAGAAGGGGAAGAGAGAGGGGGGATGAGAGAGGGAAGGGGGAGAGAGAAGAGATGAGAGGGAGAGAGAAAGAGAAAGAGAAAAGAGAGAGGGAGAGAGAAGGGAGAGAGAGGGAGACAGAGAGAGAAGGAGAGAGAGAGGAGAGAGAGAAGGGAGCGAGAGGGAGAGGGAGAAGACTAGGCTCCACGTGTGAATATGAGCCTGCATGTATGTCCGAGCATTTGAGAGCAGACCTATGCATGTTGGGGGAGGGGTATATGCATGGATATAGAATCCGAGAGGGATCCAAGTCGTTTTTTCTTAATAAATAGGAAACAGGTCGTTGAGAAGTAAAATACAGGGCAGGACAGAGTTGCTTTGCTGGCTGAGGGGATAAAAAGATCCCGAGCGGTCAAAAAAAAAAAAAAAAAAAAGGAAGGAGGCCGGTTCTTGGCCAGCAGTTTGGCAGTTCTCTGTGTCTGCAATTAAAGGCCCAAAGATTTTAAAAAAAAAACTTTACAGGATGGGACGACAACGTCTTGCAATCAAAGGTGTGGGCAGAACCTTCCTCTGGATCGAGGCGAGAAGTGCGCGTTCTCTCTTTCTCTCTCTCTCTCTGTCTCGCGTCCTTTTCACCTTCGGCCCTGACGGAAGAAAACCTTTACCACTTCCATTTTGAGAACAATCTTTCACGGGGGAATCTGATCGTAACAAATAAATCCCACTCTTGTTTTTGGCCGGGACCAGAAAAGGAAACCGCCGAATAAGGAAGCGCTCGATTCTTTCAGAAGGTTCTCCTGGATTCCAGTTTCATGGACAAATGTTTACGTGTGTACACACACACACACACACACACACACGCCCTCCTTCCCAGGAGGCTTGTTGTTGGGATTGGGTCACAGCCAAGAGAGAACTGAAGAGGCCAGGCACAGAAAAAGTTTAAAAGACTGCCGCGACACTCTTTCATTTTTTACTCTTTCTCCCCATCTCACCCCATCCCCGGGCCAACAAACAGACACACTTTCTTATTGTTCTGAGATTTGTGCATTTTTTAAAAAAAAATACGCGAGGAGATTTTGAGGGTTTTCCTTCTCCCCTGGAAACCCCCGCAGCTCTGAAGAGCTCCGGCTGGTATCCATTCTGCACCTGCCAGCTCAGAGAGGCTGCTTGGTCCCAGTCCCGTGCAGAAAATTTGCACAGCTTTGCATGTTTTAAAACTCTCAAACTCTAAGCTGCAGCCCCTTCTTCTACCATCTTCTTCTTCTACTACAATCCTCCTCCTCCTCCTCCTCCTCCTCC